TATCAATAGGTTTCAAATGTTTTTTACACCATTCAAATCGGTTGATCCCTGCGAGCGAAAACGTAGACGAAAAATTGTAACCATACATACACACATACATCAATCTCTTCTGATGTATACCAAAATGTTCAGAAAGCTTCAAAACGTAAAGATATGCAAAAAAATCCATTTTTGGACGATTACAATAACTTACCCTACGGGAAGTTAAAAATAGTAAACATTTTGCCCCTTGGCTGACCCTTTTCACTCCGCCTACGGAATTTAAATTAGTTTCAATTAATTTAAAAAATTATATGAAAACATACTTCTGTTGTCAGGTACACTAAAAATACTAAATATGACTAAATATACTAAAATTTTCGAATATACTAAAAACATGTGGTTGCATTTCTTCGGAGTATTTTTACAATTTGCGATTGTTTGCCATTATATTAATTTTATAAGCATCTGTAAGAAAATGTTTTAGACTAAACTATGACTAAAACCTAAACTCGCGTAATATAGAAATAAACTTGTAATATTTGAATCTGCATCACAAAATTCTGAAACTTTTACGTCGTTTACGTGTTAACTTTTTGCTTGTTATTTAATTATGACAAAGATATGCGCAAACTGAAATCTCTCACATAATGCCATTATCTACTTTACAGGTCAATCGACTGACAGTAGGTTTGGAAAGTTCAGTCAGAAGTCGATCTCAATAAACGAGTGCACGGACTTTCAAACATCTCAACCACATGGGAGATATAACGGGCGCATCTGCACAAAACTGTCGCGCGAAAACGTATTCTATAAAGGCAGCCACTCGGAATAGTTTGAATAAACGGCTTACGTGCCAGACTGCACATCCAATGGAGATCGAGAGTAAGAGAAAATTTGATTATTTTTTCATATTCATAAAAAGCTCAGCAGAAAAAATAAGCCACAGAATAATATTCAAGATTGCAACTTATTAATTACAATTACGAATACCAGTTACTATTAATCAAATCTCAAAGAAAAATGATCGATATATCGCCTGACCGTCTCTATTAAAACACAATGTTCTTTACGTTTATTTATTACTCTAATCAGATTAGAAATCTCTATATATGTCTGCCCTCTAAAACTGTTTATTCTTCAGTCTACAGTCGTAGTATTTAAAACTATCAATAACATAATATTCTTATAAAGATTCACACTATTATTCGTACTAACATTCATATATTAAAACAACGCCATCTATTTATGGTTAATAACACACATCAATCAAATAATTATCTGAATATGTTCAGTAAAATTACCATATCAATTTAGAAATGTGTAAATTTGCTGTTTTTCAAAAATTTGTCGCCTGGTCCTTTTTAGCCCAAAGGATGGCCAGGGTGCAAACAGGTCCAAGGTCATCAATTTTAAATTGATTTTAAAAACTAATAGCTACATTATTAAAAAAATGCAAAATGTAATTTTTTACGGAGATACCACTGTTCATAACCTGGATCTGGTGAAATGAAATCAATGAATTGAAAAAAAAAATTAAGTTGTGAAAGTTTTGAAATTTTGAAAGTTAAAATTTTGAAGTTTTTGAATTTTTTTAAATTTTGGAATTTGTTTAATTAGATAAAATAGTAATCAATAACATTAACAGATACATATCAATATCAATATAAAAATTTGGTATCTTCAAGCGAATATTTAGAAAATATTAAGACGCCGTTAGCATTATACTCTAATATATGTACATATATACTGAAATGTTAAAAAATAAATTAAAACTCAAAATACTAACATAATATGATCAAAATCGCATAACAAATTAAAAAATAAGTAATTAAAATCTGGTAACTTAGAACTTAGAATCAGTAAAGTGTACAAATTTTGATTAAAACGTAATGTATGTTATTTAATAAACATCGTATTAAGTGTGAAACTAAACTAATCGTAAAATAAATAATTCATTATTCAATAGTGCCGCTTGGAGCATTTCGTGTCGTATTGTTCCAGCTACTTGTTGCCAGCAGTCCGTGTTTATTTATTGGCATAGTTATATCATAATTCGGAACACCTACAAGCTATTCAGGCTATTTACATTACGCACGAAACTATCTTGTTAACTATCAACTCTAAGTTAGTCTGTATGTTTAAGTTTGCCTACAACGTGGGCACACGTTCGAGGGTTAGTAAATAATGCAAGCTTACTTGTAAATTAATGTTTACACATTAATTGTAATACATTAGTTTAAACTTTAAACTGTGCATTTCCGTGTGATATTTCATTACGACAAAAGCTATTCTGGAAATATGATTTGCTTTTATAATGTGCTATGCAGTTATATTGCTAATAATGCTAATGAACCAAAAATGTTCAAATGCTTTTTATTATATTAAACTAATTATCTGTAATTTTTTGTTAACTTTCAAAATTATTAAATAAGTTGACATTTACTAATGTAACTTCAAATAAAGAAGTAAATACACAATAGTAAATATAGCCAATATTTTAATATCTTTATATTGATTACGTAAATACAAGAACACGTTTAACATCACAACAAAATAAATCGTTGTGCAGAAAATACATAAGCTCAGAAAATTTATTAACGTAATTTTAGTTTTTGTATAGAGTTTGCTCTAATATATTATTTGTCATAAAAGTACAAGATCGCTCCACCGTACTCAATAACATGAGGTAACTTATATTAGAAATAGTCGGAAACATTATATTATATTATATACATGCATATATGATATGTACATTTCAAAACACATAATTATATTGATTCTTCTTCCATGAAACTTTATTCAAGCACTGGTTTGCGTTAATTTCCATATTCAACTACATCTGACTGTGTGAAATAATGTGTATGTCTGAGTAACAATAATTTATCCGCTTAGAGATGAATGTTCTACTACGGTAACAATTTTTCAAATTATTATTTCACGAAAAAGCAATAAATTGCAATCCCGGGCTGTAGGGATCGTGTGAGTGCGAATAGAAATTATTAAAGACCCTTGGTGATTGTAATATATCGTCGACGCCACCTAATCGTGAATGCGCAACAAGTTATACGTTTTTTTACGTGCCGCACATTTATTATCTCGCTATAAGTTAATAACGCTTTAAGTTAATAACGCTTTATGTAAAAAGTATACAGGCACGGTGAAATGTTTCGAGCGCTTTCGGTTTTTTTATCAAAATAATTTAGTAATTAATTAATTTGAACTAATAGTGCAAAGGAGCGTTAATTTTCTCATCGTTTTCAGTTATAGGTTTACCACAATATACTTCATACTTGAATAATATTTATTAAGCTACATGCAAACTTTGTTACATGTAGTATGTTTAAATATTTGTATGTCTAAGTCAAGCCTCTCGACATCAATCAGATTCTAGTTACAGCACTTGACAATATAGTTCATTATCATTGATCGGTAACAATAGTGCGGTAATTGCTTATTGATTTTGCTGTTATTGTAATAAACGTCTATTAATTACCCTTGTTAATGATTAGAAGTCAATTGAACAACAATTATATATTATTATCTTTCACCATAGCAACAAGATACATAAATTATATTAATTCATAGACTTTATACTATATGGACTGCTAGTCGAGCGCAAAATAAGTACTCAAACATAGCAGAGACTGTGACGTCACTTGCTGATCGAATGTTGTCGACAATCGTGGACTCTCCCGATTGATTAAATGTCATATGTCATATGTCATATGTTTTATTTTTATAATATAATGGCAATTATGATGACTGATAACTCTGTAAAAATGATATTAATAATATTTCATAATATTTATCATAATAGTTAATTTAATTCAAATATTATATGTGATAGTTTTATTTCAATGATATAAGGCAAATTTGATGGATGATAATATTGTAAGAAATGATATTAATAATATTCAATAATATTTATCATAATAGTTAATTTAATTCAAATATTATCTGTGATAGTTTTATTTCAATTATATAATGGCAATTGTGATGGGTGATGATTTTGTAAAAAAATATATTAATAATATTTGCTCTATGAAATAAATGTGCATAAAATCGAATCCACCTGTTAAAATCGGTTTATATATTATAAGGCCTATGTTAGGCACGTAACCAATATGACATATGACATTTGATCAATCGGGACAGTCCGCGATTGTCGACGGCCATTTTAAACAAAATTTAAACTACAAAAGAGCTATTCGAATAACTCATTCAATCTTAACCAGGACATGATACCGTAGTCTATTTGGAAAACATAATATAATAACAGTACCTTCTTCTATTTTCTCTTTAGTCATGATTAATTTTATAAGAAAATATACTGGCTTAGTTTATTTGTCACTAGTTACAGTCACTGAATATAATATAAGTTATAGTAATTTAATGACACGTAAACTATGTGGATCCTTCAATAATATTTGATGTCTTGATATGCAATATATAATTAAACTACTAGTATGTGAAACTATGAATATGTGAAAAAATCATAATATGATTTTCAAATAATTTTAGATTTCGATTTTTTAAATTATTAAAGATTATCGAAACTATTTCCTTTAGTTGCAGGCATCAAGAACGATGATACATCAGTTACTAGCTATTGATCCTGAATTAGGCTCTACTGAAATACTAATTATAGATACTTTCCATGTTTACACAACTGGTTTGGTTTGAGTGCAAATTACAGAATATTAATAGAAATAATAAAACACTAGGAGCTCTATGACTTCATATTCGTTAATTTTTATTGTAAATAATATTTACGCCATAGCTATTATCAAATGGTTAGTAATTGTTAGGATATTCGGTCTTGACTAAAAATTAAACTCCTTTTCTTAACACTGTTATTGAAAATTAATTTATAAAATACAATTTATTTACTTAATGAGCCGATTATAACATTGCACTATGTAGGTAATATGTGCAATGATATTAATTATATCATATTACCAAAATGCAGTATGGCTATTAGTATGGAATAAGCTTTCTGCTAGTGGCACTTGACATACCTTGGAGGTTCTATGCGGACTTTGAGGAGCTCCTCGACGGTCTTGTCTCGTAAACATGGGGCTATGTCGTCTCCCAGTAGATCGCCGTGGCAGCCAGTGGCTTCGGCCACTCGCCTCTTCACCGCTAATGGATCGGCTTGGAGCGCCCAGGGGGCCAACGCGCAACCGCTTAGCAGAATGGCGCGCCGGACCAACTCTGCAAATGAACAACCAAAACATTACTAAAAATAATAATTTATACTTAATCAAAATTATTATTATTTTTCATAAATCGTTACAATGCACATTATAAAATTAGTATTGATTAATAAAATATATGTATATAATTTTTACATTAATATTTTTTTATAAATTGATAAATAATAAATTGATGTTTAGTAACACATAAGTAAGAATTAAATCAACCAATGGACCATTTCATGACCAAACTAGTTAGAATTAAAAATAAAATCTGAATTATTTTCGATATACAAAAAAAAAAAAAAATGAAACAATTTTTTTTTCCAAAATCAATTATTTTATTAAGACAAGCAGAAAGTTCTTTGAATCATTTAAATCGGACGCTTAGTTCTCTCAAAAACTACAATTTTTCACATATTTAACTCCGTATCTTCGAAATAATAAATACTTCTCCTAATCATTACTAATTGAATGTTTTTTAGATCATTCAAATCGGATACTCCGTTCTCGCAATAACTCGATTTCTATTTTATGCACTCTTTGCTCCGTATCTCCGAAACGGCTGGACCTGCCTTTGCCAAAAACTAATCAGCTTTTTTCCCTATTAATAGAAATCGAATGTTTTTTGAACCATTCAAATCGGTTGATCCGTGCGCCCGAAAACGTGACTGGAAATTTTTATCCATACATACATACACACACACACACATCCATTTTTTCTGAGGTATGCCAAAATGTTCAGAAACCTTCAAAACGTCGAGAAATGTAAAAAGTTTTAATTTCGATTTTTGGCCCATTACAATAACGAAATTAATAAAATGTATTTTTAGTAGGCGAGACTGGGTACGGTTATGACAATCGTCATAACAGCCTAACTACATTGATTTTGACATACTATCTGTGCGGAGAAAGATATGATATGTTTTGTTTGAACAAGATATCATTATTGCTTTAAGTCACCATGATCTACCTCAAGTAAAATTTTGATATTATATCAAACTTGGCCGAGGCTGACCTAATATCAAATGGGATCGAACCCGGGTCAAGTTTGTACAAGTTTGTGTTCTTACAGATTCTCTATCGCTGTTCCTCGTAATGATAATGAAACTAACAACATATATCATTCAAAATAAACATGTTTGCAAAAAAAGTCTTATTTATCAAAGCTTATAAATTGAAATGAAACAAAAACATCATTTTATTAAAAGAATGAAGTAGAAAGAGTGAATGTTGCGTATTAAGCAAAATAATGATGAGGAAGCGGGACATTTAATTTGGCCTAATAAAGCTGAATTGAATCTGCTTTTTAAGCATGTTATTTAATGCAGGGATTTATTTAACGAAGAAAAATAATATTAGATACTGAAGCTTGTGTATGAAAGCACGAAAATTATTTTTGTAGAAATGGAGCTAAGTCGAAACAATTAATTATTTTCCCTTTCCGTGAATATTTTGTAACATAATTGGAGCTAAAATATTAAAAAATATCTTATTACATTTAAATTGAATATCTTTGTCTGCAGCCAATTGCTTTTCCTAATATTTTTTCTGCAAATTAAGTAACAATACTATTTGATTAATTATATAAATATGATATTTTACTGATTTTCTGGAGTTTGTCATCTGCTAGAATCAATGTCGTGTCACTGTATTAAATTTGAAGATAATAATATTACCATTACAAGATATTTAATTATTATTGAAATGTTAGCCTCGCTCTACCTTTTATATGTAGCCCAATATTTTTTTTAATAATTTCAATAATATCTGCATATAATGAAAATAAAAATTAATTAACCACTAAAGTCGCAGTTTTACGCATATATTAATGCCTTCACTTAAATAACATCTATGCAATTAAAATATTAATGTCTGCATTTATTTGTTTTGGAATAAAATAAACTGCAGTAAATTTATTAAAAATGAAAAACATCATCAAAGGAAATAATCATTAAACGTACAAATCTTAATTCAAGTTAGACAAAACACAATATTCTTTGCAAAATACACATTTGTCATTGCGTTTTATTAATTAATCAATAAATAAATCTTATTAAGAGATTCTATAAAATAAACTGGTTCACTAAAAAAATGAGATTGATAGAAGTTATTCATGCAAATATGCTTTATAGTTGTCATTGAAAACTAGTCAAAATGTAGTCGCAACAAAATTAAAATGATTAAAATAGATAAATCATTCTCTTCAAAAATACATCTTTGTATAAATTATATATATTTTGTATAGGTATATATATATATATATATATATGCATGAATTTACATATATACACATACATATATATTGGTGTTTGTGTGAATATAATAAAGTTACTATAGAGTTATCATCGAAGCTTATGTACTTAGAGATACATCACTTATATTCGATTGACATCACAGAAAATTAAATTAGGCGATATGAAACTTTCGAAAGTATAAATCATAAGTCGCTTATCTGAGCATCAACGGCAAAATCTGCGGTCTGATGTTCGAGAATTTCATTTAACTTCGTCCAAGATGAAAGATATTCATCTCCGTATATTTGAAAATGTCGCAAATCGTTGGAACATTCCGCGCTTCATCGCAAATCGTCGCGGCGTCTCGGTCGACTTAGAGGACTTTTTTAATTGCTACTTATATTCTTCGTTTTCCTTTCAACATCTCGCCGGAATCCTCTTTTGTCTTTATGGCTTTCAATTTTGCGACTGCGGCGAAAAGAACGCACGGGAATTGCGGTGGAGCGCTCGCTTAGGTTTTTCAACGGTGTAATACGGTTCCATGAGAAGGTTACCCCTATTTACTATTTTATTTATTGACTTCTATATTCACTATTTTAAAACATATTAGTGGAATCGCTTGCAATTGAAATAATTTATATTGCAGTTACAAGACTGACTACTTTGAATTGTTAATAATATGATGAATACAATTCATGCCAAGCACTTTCTGATACATTGAAAAATTATTAGAAATTCATACTAAAAATATAATCTTTAAATTATGACACGACTAACTACTTCGAGTCCTTAGTCATATGATAAATTCAATTTACTGTGAAGCACTTTCAGATACATTGCAATTAATATTTTATTCATTATTATATATTATATACTAGCTGTACCTACGACTACGTTTACGTAAGAGTAAACAAAAAAGTTTCTGTTCTTGCATTTTTATTTTAATTGCTATTTATTGATTTTTTTTTCACTGTCAAGAGACTAAGGAGATTAGATCCACTAGACTTAGCATAGTTATATATTTAGTATAGTGCTTGTAATTATTCTCACATATTTATATTTATTATCTGCTTGCAACTATTGTCACATATTTATATTTATTATACTAACTTGAAATACTACCAATGGGTATTTAATCACAACAATTACTGAATGCCTTCTCAGGCAGTTGTAATTTAGATGGAAATAAAAAAAAAAAAATATTGATTTTTTGTTTATATAGATATACACACAGGTGTACGATTTATATAATAATATTTCTGACCTTTCTTGCGTTTTTGACTTTATTTAAATATTACTAGTGGAAATAACACAGGTTACTTTCACAAATAATCACAATCAACCACATCCCATACATCATTTAACATATTTACTAATTTTCCGTACGGATAGTTGTAAATGGCTGGGCCTGCCTTTGCCAAAAACTAATAAACACTTCTCCCAATCTTTACTAATTGAATGTTTTTCAGATTATTCAAATCGGATGCTCCGTTCTCTCAAAAATTCGATTTCCATTTTCTGCACTCTTTGCTCTTTATCTACGTAACTGCTGGACCTGCTTTGCCAAAAACTAATCAGCTCATGTCCCTATCAATAGAAATCAAATGTTATTTGAACCATTCAAATTGGTTGATCCGTGCGCCCGAAAACGTGACTGGAAATTTGTATCCATACATACATACACACACACATCCATTTTTGCTGAGGTATGCCAAAATGTTCAGAAACCTTCAAAACGTCGAGAAATGTAAAAATTTTCAATTTCGATTTTCGGCCCATTACAATAACTTACCCTACGATAAGTTAAGTTTTAATTATTACTAATTAAAATAAAAAGTCTAACTTAAAAATATTTAGTTCAGCACGAAATAAATATCAACGTTATCAACTAAATAAAGTAACCAATGAACAATTAATCAACTTCAATAATAATTTATAATTATTTATAGCTATTACTTAAAGGAAATAACAGTAAACATAGTTTTAATTAAAATAAGATAAGACTTATAATATATAATCATTATATAAGATTATTAAAATATTTTAAAATAATACAACATTAGATAAATGCAAAACCAAACTATTTTTTGTTAAATTTTACGCAAACGAAACTTAGGGAACAGCTAGTTGAAAATATATAGGATAAGAAAGGTTTTTGTTTCTGAAATAAAAGTAGACCAGTAACATCAGCTACCTGCCAAAAAAGTTTCGTCAAAACCGGTCCAACCGTTCTGCTCAAATAAACAGACAAACAGACAAAAATTTTGAAAAAAGTTTATTTAGCATATGTACCCTATTTTTATTCAAGTGCGTGTTTTAAAATATGGTTATTTCATTATTACAAATTGACACTCCAATTTTATTTACAATTCAGATTATAAATATACAATGTATATTATATATATATATATATATATATATGTATATATATATTACCCGATAATAGAATATATCTTCATTAAGTTTCTCACGAAAAAATGATTTATCTAGTTTTCTACCGTTATGCCATAAATCGCGGCTTCAGACAACACTAAACTTGTTAAAAAGAATCCGTGTTTAACAAGAAAATTCTCTGCTTTTGAAGTACAAGAATGCAGCCGCATTGAAAACTATATTTTAATATAATAATAACTTCAGACTTTGCATAACGTCGCCAATTGCATTATAAACCAGCACGTTGATAACAATGTACTAAATGCAGAAATAAGTTTATTTCTAGAGTCACTGATGCAAAATTTAAATGAAATATAATAAGTAGAGCACAAAGGTCCAATTTGACTTTGAGCAATTATATTGTAAAAACCAACCAGATTACATAACAATAAATATCAAACAAGACATAACAAGATATCAAACCAACAGGATTTTTTTCTATTTGTCTGGACAGCCAGATGGCAAACAGATTCAATGTCTTATTTTTAATTTTAAAGATATTTTACAACATAATAACTACAATATTGAACCAATACAAAATATGCATGGGCTCATTTCATAAGCTAACACTATA